ACCTTGGAGACAACAGAGCATCACAGTGCACACAAAGAAACAAGATAAAGCCGGAACAAGGGAGCAGGATACAGACCCAAAACACATCCCTGAGGAAGACGCAGCATTGGAACTCCCTGATAAGGAATTCAAAAGAATTCTATTTAGGTACCTTCAACAAACTGAGAGAAAGATCAAGGAAAACAATGATACAATTGGGAAAATCTTAGAACAATTTGGAAAAACAGTACAAGAACAAAATGAAAAAATTAGAAATGATACAAAATCTATACACAGAAATCCAGAAGATTAATACTAAATTTTCAGAAATAGATAACACATTGAATGGGCAAAGAAGTAGAACTGAATCAATGGAAGACAGAATTAGTGAGATTGAAGGCAAATACCTCAATACTTCTTTGGAAAGGGATCATTCAGAAAAAAAGATCAAAACAAAATGAAGAAAGCCTAAGGTTCATGTGTGATACCATCAAAAGGAATAACCTACGTGTAATCGGAATTCCAGAACAGGAACAGAGAAAGAAAACCACACAGAAAATTGTTGAAGATTTGTTGGAAGAGAATCTCTCTGGCATGATGAAAGATGAGAATATATCCATCCATTTAAAAAGTCCAGTGAACCCCAAACAGGATAGACCCAAAAAGAAAATCACCAAGACATATCATCATCAAACTCACCAAAACTAAAGACAAAGAAAGAATCCTCAAAGTAGCACAGGAAAAATGAAAAGTTACCTACAAGGGACAACCAACAAGATTAAGCTTGGATTTCTTGGCAGAAATCATGCAGATAAGAAGAAAATAGGATGGTATATATAAAACCAAAAAAACAAAACTCCAAATTCATTGCTGTCAAGTCGAATCCAACTCATAGTAATCCCTCCTTGGGTTTCCAAGGCAGTATCACTACAAAGTATATTGCCCCATCTTCCTTCTGAGGATTGGCTGGTGGGTTTGAACTGCTGGCATTCTGGCTAGCAGTCAAATGCCTTAGGCACTACACCACCAGAGCACCTATATAAAACCCTGAAAGAGAAAAATTTCCAACCAAGAAGTATATATGCAGCAAAATTGTCCCTCAAATATTATGATGAAATGAGGACATTTCCAGATAAGCAGAAACTAAGAGAATTGGTTAAAAGCAGAGCAACCTAGTAACAGATGCCAAAGGGAATCCTTTGGACAGAGAACCAACAACAGCCAACAACAACCTACCATTAACACACATGATGACATAACCCAGAAACCAACCCAGTTATGGAAGTATCCAAAGTAAATAAGCCTACAAGATTGTAAACAGGGAACCAGAGACATCAATTGACAAATGAAGACAACTACAAACCAAAAAGAGGGAAAAAAACTGTTGTTACAGAACTTCGAAATGGGAGGGAAGTCAAGACAACTGCAAGACAGAACGGACTATTCTAAACTTGGGGAGTAAACTATAAATCACAGGGTAACCGCAAAGAAAAATGATAAACTTTCACATCAAATAAAGATGAGGACCAGCATAAATATTTAGCAAATACCAAAACAATAGCAATGAAGGAAGTAATAACATGATTCATAAACAAAACGAGCTCAGCAGAGAAAATTATATGGAACAAAGAAATCAACACCATGAAAAAACACATAACAAAATTACAGCAGCAAATTCATACTTGTCGATAATTACGTATCTGACAAGGGGCTTATCTCTAAAAGTTATAAAAAACTCCAATGCCGCAACAACAAAGTAATTAACAACCCATTTAAAAAATGGGCAGAAGACACGAATAGACACTTCACCCAAAGAGGATATTCAGTAATCATAACAAATTACCACACTATTGCAAGGTGTTAATAATAGGAGATACTGTGTGCAGTGAGGAAGCATATGGGATCTCTGTACTTTCTGTGCAATTTTTCTGCAAAACTAAAACTGTTCTAAAAATTTAAAGTCTATTAAGATTTAGTTTCTATTTTAAAAGTAGAAAAACAGTTCCAAGATTATTTAATTCAAAATCCATTTTTAAAAGAACACTTGGTGTTATTTCCATAATCTGGATTATTTTACAGTCTATTTAATAAAAGCAATTTCTAAGAAATAGACTAATCCAAAAATGAAGGCTACATATCCATTAAAACCATAAACAGGCTCATCAAGGAAGGAAAAGTTTAAGAATCATTTCTTTTTGATCTTTTGAATGATTTTTTCAATGTCATATCAAAATCACCTTGGGAGCTTTTTAAAGCTACACACTTATCCAACCCAAGAATAGGTGGATTAAAAAAAAAAAAACTACCTGATGTCAAGCCAATTCCAACACATAGCAACCTATAGCAACCCTAAAGGTCAGAGCAGAAATGACCTATAGGGTTTCCAAGGCTGTAAATCTTTGCGGGGGGAGTTCTGGTGGTGTAGTACCTAAGGCATTTGACTGCTAACCAGAAGGGTGGCAGTGCAAACCCACCAGTCACTTCTTGGGAGGAAGACTGGGCAATTTACTTCCATAGAGATAGTCCCGATAACTAAGTGAAAGCAAAACAAGTCTTTAAAACAGAATTGCAACAAAGACCCAATATTTGTTTTTGTACAGCTCATGACTATGAGCTAAGAATGGGTTTTACATTTTGTTGTCAAAATAAATAAATTAATTAATTTTTTAAAAAAATCAAGGAAGAAGATACAACAGACACCAAATCTAGTCTACAAAGCCCAGAATGTGTATTATCTGGCCCTTTATAGAAAATGTTCATGAACTGCTGATGTACAAGAAATGACACAAATAGATAATCATCTGACAACCACTGTAGAGGCATTTGAGGAGTAGAGGCATGTAGGAGTCATCAGTGGATGCTAAAGAGGTTTAATGAGGTAGAGAATATTGTCTAATTACCGGAGTACCTCCAGACAAAATATTTATCAAATAAAGAGGAAAAATTATGACACTACAATGGAAAAATGTGGCAGAAATCCACCAGGTGATCCATGTTAACCTCATGAGTGGTGAAGCAGGTTGTTACACCTCCTTCTGTTTCCCCAAGTATAAAAGGCCTGATCTGATCATAAGGAAACATCAGATTGTTCCTCACCCTACAAAAATGAAAAAACTCTGTACTCTCTAAAACTATACATGGCATGAAATACAGAGAAGACTGAGAAACCATTCCAGAGATTAAAGAGATGTGAAAAACAAATACAACACATGATCCAAGATAGGATCCTAGAACAAAAAGGAGAAAAAAGGTATTGCTGGGGCAATTAGCAAAATGTCAGTGAGTAATTAATGAGTCAGTTGAATCCTAACAACAAAGTATGAGGAGCTAAAGATGAGACAGTGGTGTTTTATGTGTCAGATGAAGAAATAGCTAGAAAGTACAAACTTTAATGGGAACAGTTAGAAGAAGTTTGCCAATAAAGGGAACATGCTAAGTACGAAGACAATATTAATCCAATTAAAGCAGGATGTGTTTTTAAAGCCCCAGCATTAAAATGGATGCCTGAAAGGTATGATTCAAGGATGCCTTGATAAAGTTAACTGATGGATTTTGTGATTCTTTCTGATAGGTTATCTTTACTTATTAATACTGAACATTTTTGAACCAAGTGTTAGTGTAACAGATCACCAGTTCTTTCCTCCTGCATAACCTCTGGGTGGTTCAAACCACCAACCTTTTTGGTTAGCAGCCAAGTACTTAATCATCGTACCACCAGAGCTCCTTAAATATAAGATTTGAAAAATATCTATAAGTATCCATGGGATTTACCAACCTGAAATCATTAGGGACCTTGTTGTTGTTGTTGTTATGTGCCATCAGGTCAGCCCCAACTCATAGCGACCCCTCCTTGGATTTCCAAAGTGGTATCACTACGGAAGTAGATTGCCCAACCTTCCTTCCGAGGAGTGGCTGGTAGGTTTGAACCGCCAGCCTTCTGCAGTGGTTTAGAACAGATTCCAGACTGGGTTAAGGAATAAACAGAGGCAGGAACAGAGCAACAGCTCTGTAGTGACAATTCTTCAAAGAAGTCAGGCTGTAAAGGGGGATAAGCACTTTAAAGTAATTTTTCAATGTGTGTGTATGTGATTTGTTTGTTTGTTTTAATGGAGCACAGTACAGAATACTTGAGTGCCAGTTAGAAGGATCTAGTACAAAAGGAGAAATTGAAGATTTAGGAAAGACCAAAAATAACCGTTTGTGTGGGATTCCTAAGAAATGAACGGAAGATCTGGAGAAATGTGGAGAGGATGTCTTCAGTTTTCTGTGGGCAGCATGCAGGTCAGAGTGGAAAGTCATCTACTGAGAAGGCAGGAGGGAAATGCAGAACTGAAGGTTTAAGGAAAGAGGATAAGGTAGGAAGCTGCCCCATGAAAGACAATGAGTACAGAAATACAGTGAGATTGCAATACAGTGTGAGGGTCTCAATGAAATTAGTAATCAAAAAGAGTATTTAAACATATGAGAAAGGGTTGTATTTGTTCAAAAGACTAGTAAATCAATACAACCATGTTAACACATCTTTATACAAAATTTTCCTGTATACCAAGTCATTATATGCATATGAGCAAAACTGGAAGAAACCAATCAAAACGCAAAAACCACATGTGCCTGAACATTAAAAATGAATTCATTTGAACCACAAGAAAAACCAGTTGGCACAAAATCTGAAAGAGGGAGCTAACATGAATAGTCGGGGAACGGTAAAAATATAACAAACCAAATCCTGTACCCTATCCACTACCACAGTTTTCTACTAGCACCTCTAAAAGAGGTTTTTCAAACCAGAATATCATGGACCCACAAGATCCTATTGGAATTTCCTGGAAGTCCCAAGGTGTTTCCAGTCCAGTTTTTAAAATTCTCCTTTAGGACATAAATCAATGTTATTGCTCCCACTATTACTTTGACATTTCCATTTACTGCCCATCCAATCAAATTTACTCTTCTCTTGGCATGTTTCTTCAAACTTAAGTGTTTAAGTATACCCAGATATAATCCCAAAAAATAGCCCATCTTACCGATATTGCTGTTATCCTAAGAGAATCAACAGTGGAATGTTTGAATAAGTACCACAAGACAGGTCCAACTTCTCCTGTAATAAAGCCCTGGGCCTGAGCAGAAAAGGTAGTGCAGACATTTTCAATAATCTTAGCCGCCATGTGATTCACAATGCGTTCTTCCTAGAGAAACAGAGAATAAGTAGGTTAAAATGCTGTTTATTGTTGTTGTTATGTGCCGTCGAATCAGACCTGACTCATTAGTTTGAGATATGTATACATGTCACTTCTTCATAACTATTGCAAATAATGGCCTGATACCAAAAGGGAATCATCTATCCCTGGATATCAGTTCAACATTTTAGGAGTATGGTGACTCTTTCAGACTCTTATAAAACTATTAAAAATAGAATCATTTGGTTATTTGCCAAATTTTGCGTAACACAATTCTCCACATATTTTGATAGAAACAAAATGGCTGAAAAAAAAATAGATTAAAAAAAAAAACAACAACAACAACAACCTCACTGCCATCGAGTCAGATCTGACTCAAGTGATCCCTCCTTGGGTTTCTGAGGTGGTATCATTATGGAAGTAGATTACCCACTCTTCCTTCTGAGGGGTGGCTGGTGGGTTTGAACCACCAGCCTTCTGGTTAGCAGTCAAATGCCTTAGGCACTATGCCACCAAAGCTCCAACAATATATGCACAACATAAAATTTGGAAGATAATTTCAAAATCCGACGGACTAGGTAGAAAAATTCTCAGAAGTATCCCAGGGCCAAGAATAGCTTGTGTTTCAAGCAGCCAGAGTGGAAAGACCACCTAAAAATAGGAAGAGGCCACCTTAAAAAAGGGGGGGGGGGGTAGTGTCCTCAGGAAAGTATTACCTTAGAATTATGTCCTAATTAAACCTGGGGAAAAAAATACTCTGGTGGCATAGTGCTTAAGGCATTTGACTGCTAACCAGAAGGCTGGTAGTTCAAACCCACCAGCCACTCCTCAGAAAGAAGACTAGACAATCTACTTCCGTAGTGATACTGCCTTGGAAACCCAAGGAGGGGTCGCTAATGAGTCGGATCCAACTCGACAGCAGTGAGTTTTGATTTTACATCATCTTGTGGTTGTTAGGTGCCATTAAGTTGATTTTTGACTCAACACAGTGATCCTTTGTGACAGAGCAGAACTGTCTACAGGGTTTTCTAGGCTGAAATCTTCACAGCAGCAGATTGCTAGGTCTTTTCCCTGCAGAGCCACTGGGTGGGTTCAAACCACCAACCCTTCTAAAGCAGCCAAGTGTTTAACTGCTAGTTCCTTAGCTGTTCCCATCATAACAGTGCTTAAAATCAAGCCTCAAAAAGATCAAACTGTCCCTTTATTCACTCTAATCAGGGGGGAATAAAATGCTTTATCTATTTGGCTAACTTTAAAAGTTAGTAAACTGGCCATGCCCAAGTACCCCATTCAATTCCTCTCACTTTTCCCATGGGTGTGAGGCCTGCCCACTCAGAGCTGTCCTCTCAAATCCTCACTGTAAGTCTCACCTGAGTAATACCCTACTTGGAGAGCACTGCTATTTCTGGAGGACTAAGTTTGTCTCATATGGAGGATTCATGATAAGGAAGCCAATCTGTCACAGACAGGCTAAATCCTCCACCCTAGCTTTCATTACACACAAATCTGTTATTTTTCTCTCACATGTTTAATTCTTTGTCTTATTTCTCAGTAAGTTCAGAACCTTTCCCCTGAATACAGCAGGGGAAGGTGCTATTTATTAGGGGTGCCTCAAATACCTCACAATTGTCAGTCAATTCCCAGAAGACCCTTTTCCAGGACTAAAAAAACCACAACTATTTTAGCAGTTTGGTTGGAAAGGGGTTGTGGGTCTCCTTCATGTCCTATAAACTCAGTGAGGCTGTCAGGCCAATTCCAGTTGTTATCACCTGAATTGAGCTACCTTATTTAGTCCCTCTGGGATTTCCTCTGGGACACCACACAAGCAATGACTGGTGCTATTCTCTGCTTCATTCACCCTTTAGAAGGGATGACTACACTAAACTATTATCTTTTTAATCAAATACCTATTTTATTATACCATGAGAATAAAAGCTATAATGATTAGAGAAAAATATCTAGGCTTTTTAGTGAAGAGCTGTAATCTGTTCAGTAGATCTAATGTATTGTAGGCAGTCTTAACAAAAAAGAAAGCTTTACAGCCAATTAATTTTAATCTATAAGTCCACTTTTCCAATAAAGAAGACCAAAATTAACATCTGAAATACTGCCATTAGTTATTTTCACACATGCTAATTTAATGAAACTATGATTATTTTGCAGTTTAGTGTTTTAGTAATTTCTTGAACTAATATGATCTACTTTTCTTGCAATACAGTGAGCTAAGTACTGGGACAACTCCACCCCTCTGAAAGCAATTGAAAATAGTAGATAGAAAACAATTAATAAATTTTCTTAAAAACATCCATGTGCTAGCACCAATTTCTTAGGCTAGTAGCTTTCTTTAGCTAACATCCTGAGAGGTGCCCAGAGCACTGCAGCTGGCTTTTGTCTCAAGAACATTCACCCATCAAGGCCAACAGAGGAGTAAGAGGCAAAGGCTGAGGGTGGAAAGTCAGATGAAGACTCCCCACTGGTCTGAGCTGGGGCCGAGTGTGTGTGTGGCAGAGAGGATGTTCAGGAAGGGAAACCCACAAGAAGCTGAAAGTAGACCTGCACTCAGATTTGCAGAGTATCCCCTTCAAAGAGCCAGAGTTACTCTCACAGCTGACTTCTTAACAGCAATCCAATTTCTTAACCAGGCCAGAAGACAGTGAGGTGATTTTTAAATTGCTAATGGAAAATAATTGTCAATCTCCAATTACAATCACAGAAAAAAAAAATCAAGAAAGAGCAAATAAAAACATTCTAAAAAATAATAAAACAAAATTAGAATACTTTCCCAGCAACAGACCTTCACTAAAGGAAATTCTAAAGAACAGACTAAAGAGAAATGTGATCACAGTTGGAAGATGTGAAAAGCAGGAAGTAATGAAGGTAAGAGTTTAAATATATGAATAAACTGAAATAAACATATCTAAAACAACAAAATCTGATTATATTATGAGAAGAAATGAATTATAATGAGTCAGAAGAGAAGTGAATGGAGTTGTTCTAAGGTGCTGGCATTGTTTGGGAAAAGGGTGAAAATAGGAACTTTAGCCTTTGATGAGTTAAATATTCATGTTGTAGTAATTAGAACAACCGCTAAACACATAAAAGAAATTATAAAAAATAAAAAAGAAAGCATGAAGGAAAATATGAACAGAGTACACGTGAGAAAATACCACAAATAAAATGGCAACTGTAAAATCAACTATATCAACAATTTCAGTAAATGTGAATAGAATAAATACTTGTTGTTGTTGTTGTTATGTGCCGTCGAGTCAGACCTGACTCATAGTGACCCCTCCTTGGGTTTCCGAGGCAGTATCACTAGGAAGTAGATTGCCCCATCTTCCTTCTGAGGAATGGCTGGTGGGTTTGAACCGCCAGCCTTCTGCTAAGTAGTCAAGTGTGTTAGGCACTATGCTACTAGAATTCCTGAATAAATACTAGTTAAGGAAAAAAACTATAAAACAAGTGATTTAAACTACAACAATATGAATAGACATATCTAAAACACAAAGTTATAGAAAGACTAAAAGTAAGATGATAGAAAAATATACACTAGTCATAACTAACTTAAATAAGGCAGAGATAGCTATACTAAGAGCAGACAAAATAGCCTTTGGGCAAAAAGAATTACTGGTGATTTGTTTTAAAGTCACACCATAATGATCAAAATTTCAATAGAACAAGAGAAAAACAATTTAAAATGTTTATATATTCAATAACTAATACTCAAAATACATAAAAGGAAAATATGATGAAATTGCAAGCCTACCAAAGAGGACAATTAAAACTCACATCTCAGTAACTGATAAATCAGATAAAAAAAAACTATCGTTATACATACAGAACATCTGAACAGCATGATTAACAAGCATGAGCTAACAAAAAGAAAAAACACATCAGCCAACAATGGCAAAATTCATTCTCTTTTCCCCTAAGTGTACACATACTGAGTTACAAAGGAAGTCTCTACAAATCCCAAAGGATTAAAATTATACAGACACCATTCTCTCAATATAATGCAATTATGCTGAAAATAATACCATATTTTTACAAAAATAACATGTGTGCAATTTTGGTTTTTTCCCCAACCTACACAACTTTCCTTGTGCACTGTGCATATTATATACATGTGTGCACTATTTGTGTAGGCATGTTATATGTGAAAATATGGTAATAAATAAGAAAATCAGAAAGGTGGTTAGTAAATGAGAAAGATACAGAAGAGTTACAGAACTTAAGAGTACAAAGTATAAAATGGAATTAAATAGTCAAAGGAATACGGAAATTTACACAGAAAGCCAACCAGTATTAATCCTTGAAAGGGGCATTACTAATGATATTTTAAACAATTCTTACATATCAAACCCAGCAAAACCAGACTCTAAAATCTTCCCTTTGAGTATACCTGCCATAGGAGGGAAAAAGGAACAAACCTCACCCCTCTGTGTGCTTCATAAGGGAGGCTTGATGGTATAGTGGTTAACTGCTGAGCTGCTAGCAAACAGTCAGTGGTTCAAACCCACCAGTCACTGTTCAAGAGAACAATGTGGTAGTTTACTTCTGTAAAGATTACACCTTTGGATACCCTATGGGGCAGTTCTACTCTGTCCTACAGGGGCGCCACTATGAGCTGGAATCAACTCAATGGAAATGGGTTTGGTCTTTTGGGGGTGTGCTTCTTAAAGCATCAATTGTCTAGAAGATACTCTGCTCCACTCAGTGCTGCCTCAGGACCCATTCTCAAGGAAACTGGCTCACTTCAAGACACATTAGGTAGCTCCACATTTCATAAGCCCTTTTGCATTCTACTAATAGTATTCAGAAAATTATTTAATCTCTGAATTGTTACATTCATAATGATGTCAAAAGGGAAAAAATACATTGCATCCTTCTTAATCCACACACATTGTCTATCTTTGATGCACAAAGGCAAGGGGAATTGTGAGTGTCTACCAAGAGTCCTAATGTTGATGGCACATGCATTTCTTTATTACGATGATTAAACTTGTAAT